GCCCTGCCACCACCTCCCCCGCACTCCCCTCCCCCCGCCCGCGGCCCGGGCCCCAGCACGGAGACAGCGCGCTTCTTAAAATGGTTTTTATTCATAAACTTGATGCAAGTTTACAAATTACTGTACATTGCCAAGTAACTCTGCAATGAGAAATGGAACCCGAACCAAAGCATGCGCCGAAGGGGCGGGGGGCGCCCGCGCCGCGCTCCGGCTGCCGGGGGTTATACAAATACCGGTACGACCACGCAAGCAGAAAGGCTGGGAAGTCACCCACCGCACACTGGAAACAATACGCTACTGGAAGTAGTGCCAAACCTCTCCCATCGTCTCTTTCGAGCTAAAAACTGGATCTAGAAGCAAACGCACAAGGACCCGTGGGCGCCTGGTAGAGAAAAGAGCACACAGTTGAGAGTCAACTAAAAAACCGTAACGAAAACATGCTTCTGCGCTTCTAAAAAGTGCTTAATCCATGGAACACACCCTTAGCTCAGCCCCAGAGGGGTGCAAAGGCCTAGTGACGAGTACTACAACCAAAATAGAATCGATTTAGGTAAGGCAATGAAATATGGCGTAATTACACAGACCCAGATTCGTTTCCTAATAAAGAACGAACAGTTCCCATTAGTCTCTCAATAACAAAACCACCGTCATGACATGGCAACATTTCTTAAACCTCTGAATCAGATGGCGAGTTTTTGTACTTTATTGTAGCTTTTATAAAAAAATTTTTCATTCAAGGACTTTCATCTCAATTTGTGCCAATCACTTTATAAGTTCATTAGTTTACAAATGATTGCAACAACCCGTTAATAAAATGGAACGCCTAAAAAGGCTTTTAGTACTTTAAATAGCTTCAAGCTTCATACTGCGGCTCTTCTTGTTAAGGAGGTTGAGCCAACAAGTAACAGCCCAGCAAGTTCTGACACCCCAGTGGAAGTGACTAGTTACAAGGTTTTATTGGCACAGCCTTGCTCTGCTTTAAAAAAAAAAAAAAAAAAAAAGGAAAACAAAAAAAAACCAAACCAAAAAATTAACATAATCTAAACAAAGAGCATCTTTTCCAAGAAACAGTTCGTATTCTCATACAGCCATGAAAAATGTTTAATGACTTAACATACATGTGTTTGTCCTATATCATTAATTTGGAAATACTACAAATGCTGTCATTTTAGACCAGAAAAACTACTGTGATTTGCAAGACCTGACATTTCCTAAAACAGTATTAAACAAGGTATTAAACTTCTTGGCTTTAAATGAAACGATACAACGCAAGTCTCTGCAGTCTGCATTTTGCAAAAGGTAAGAAATACACAAAAGTGTGTGAACAACTCACTCCTATTGAATGATCTTTAGTAACTCGGTAGCCTGCTGTAAGGAGCTTACGCTTCCAAATAAAAAACAGGGAGAAGGGAGGGCGTGGCCCAAATGCTTAATCCATAAGAACAAATACGGTCAAGGCCCAAACTGCTCAGTCCAGATACCTAAGAAGAGCGGAATGGTAAGGCTGTAACTTATACTTTGCGTGTCAGTTGACAGATTATCCACTAACTTATCTAATAGCTAAAGTCTTCAGTACGGCTGTTATAGGGGCTCTCGTAGCTTGAGTCTGTGTGTTGGAAAACATAAAAAAGAGCTTGTTTTGTTGACATTGGTCCAGGGATAAAACAGTCCTCGATGTTAGCCATCTTCTTTCGGAGGAGTGTACCAGCCTATGGAGAACAGAGAAACGCGTTAGGTACCGACACTGCCACGTCAAGACGATCTTACCATCTTACGCTGAATCCGTGGGAGATGGAAGCCTAACCTGGCTCCTCTTAAAGCAGGCCAGCTCAGTGAGACCTGGTGCCCTAAACACCAGTGGTCTGCAGTGGGAGATAAAGCATGTGGCACGTTCCAGGTCAGACCCAGTATTTGGGACTGAAAATTAAATACTTCCAAGTCTGGGGCTTTTTGTGGCAGCAGCTGTCCTGAGTTGGACAACCTGGACATCAACAGAGGAAGCTGTTACATTGCTGTAACAAAACCAAATGGAATATATGTAAAACCCCTCAAGTCTTCAAGCCACTTAAAGCACTGACATACAAACATGACTACACTGGGATACTTGGATATAAATCCCATCTTGCATACTGAAGAGTTCGGCACGCACCAGCAGTTGAGCGGTTTATCCTACTTCTGCAAATCTTGCTGTAGGAATGGGCTCAGAAATGTCAGTTGAATAACTTGCCTCCTCAAAGGATTTGGCATGTTTAGCAGTTGAATCATACCTGATTAAGTGTGCATAGTTGTTTTTTTTCCTAGCCATCTCCAGATCTCCAATCTGAATTCTCCCAGTCACTATCGTAAAAAAAATCCTCTAAATTTTTGTATAGTGAGTACAGGGCCTATTTACATTGTCCCAGAGAACAGGTAGCAGCTATCAGTTAAAGACACCTTTCGCAGCAGCAATAAATGCTGTGAATGCTTTGTGTACAGCTCCTGACGCAGCAGTAATCACTGTAGCCAAGGCTAGCATATAGCTAGAAGTAAACAGACAGCCATGCTGGCTTTTGTAGCAAACTAAAAAAGCAAAAGACTCAGTTAATGGCAAGATCAAAATATCATAAAATTGGAAAGCATTTTAAAGTTGTAACCTTTGACCTTCCTCCCAAGAGTAGAGAAGGCATTATGTTCAATGTTAGAGGTAGGGAAACTGAGGTGCTCACTACAGTCACACTGAAATACCCTCTCATGTTCACAGCAGCATGAATTCCCAGAGGAGACCGTGTCCAACACGGACCAAAGGACATCACAGAAGTGCTAACTGGGACTAACTCCCTCATCGTGAGACCAGGGTACCAAAATTCTGCTGACTACTTTTACATAACATGTGAGCCACTGAAACCTTTTAAAGCCTCAGGTCATTTGTTGCCTTCTCATCCTGGCACAGTGCATGCAATTATACCTGAAGCACCTGAATACTTGTTTTATTCAAGCTGAGAGACCGTTAACTGACTTTAAATAGGGTAAAAAAAGTGTCTCCCATCTCCCTTGCACAGTTTTCCAGCCAGCGCACTTCACTTGGACTTTTTGTATTTTTTTAGTCTCTGGTCTTTCTCTCCACTTTATCTCTTCCTTCATGATTACTACTACTGAGGCCTTGCCACATTGAAACAAAGCCTTTCAGGGAACGAGGCAAACTTCCAGCAGGTACTTTACTAGCAAATACCACGCTTTAAAAGCTACCGTAACAATAAAGTTACTAGATCAACTGGCTGAAAATGAACTACCTTTCGAAAGACAGTAGCAACACATGGAACATTGCTATATTCGTGTAAGCTGGAAAAGTTGCAGTGATTGTTAGTCAAGTTACTTCAAGCACTACTGTCTTCCTTGTGCAAGATGAGAAAAAGGAAAACACCTTTTATGGTCTTCCCAAGCCAACATAAGACATTGGCACTTCAAGTTTTCCTGCAGCCAAATACCAATTCCCAGGTTGCTGTGCAGACAAGAACAAAGTCGCGAGACTATACATACCATTTTTCTCGTGTATTTGTACTAGTGACTTATAGGACTGCTGTGCTCTTGCTAGATTATATTGATTCTGAAAGGAGAAAAAGCTAACATAAAAAACCTGCATTTAGACACGTGGAACTTAAAAACAGCTTTATGAAGAAACTCTACTCTTTAAAGTACAAGATTTTCAAGACAAATACCCTTATTTTCTCATTTCTCCTCCATCACAATAACACTAATTTGTCTACCCCTGCTGCTGGAAAGGCCCCTTTATCGGGGGGTTCAGAACCCGAGGTAAGTCAGAAGCGTGTGCAACTGGAAGGGCAGGCTTCAGGCAATTCCCGCCATAACTCTGTCTTGCTCAGCTGTCCAGTTACGGGGTAAGACAGAATTGTGGTCATAACCCTTTACATCTTAACTAGTTCGCTATCCTTAAATCAGTACTTAAAAACTGGCATCCAAGTGACAATTTCATTGACTTGAATATTTAAGCATCCTTTGAAAACGGCATTTAGTACTTCAAAGTCCTTTAAGTTATGGTGCACACTTAAACTGAATTACAATTTCGATTAATGCTGAATGGCTAGCTCAGAAGTATTTGCGTGGTATTATTTTTTCACCCTCTCATGAAACTTTTCAGGTATCAAGTCCAGCAAAAGGAGAACTTCTTAACATCAGTGTATGCGATCCTGGCAGTCAGGCTGTCATCTACAGCCCTTCTCAGAGCCCGAATTTCCAAATCCTCCCAGTTCCCAATTCAGAATCGTCCCTCCCGCCCCCCCTCACCAATGCAGGGATAGTACAAGTCCAACTACTTACACACCCTGTGCATCCCAAGGTTTTATCCTCCTCATACATTCATCACTTCTTAACAAACTTTAGTTAACTGCCAATAAAATACTTCTACATGGACAAGACATCAAGATAAATCAAAACATAAATATATTTGCAATGACAATTCTGTCATTAAGTATCTTCTATGCAAGTGAGCAAAGAAATGGAAGCCTAGCAGTCACTTGCGTAATTGATATGCACAGGCCATTTACCTTATTGGCTCCGAAGTGTACTCTGGCTTTTCCTTTGACTAAAGTGGCATTGATCTGCATGATGACCGATTCTATTGAATAGGCACTGCTCCAGCCCTGGAGGAGGAAGGAAATATTTCTATATAACATGTACTTGCTTCTTGTGCTCACCTTGCAAATCTACTTTGAAACGTGTGCTTTAGGATTTTTTTTTTTCCCTTGCACTCCAGTTTTAGTTCTAACTACTTGTTTTCAGTTAACTTTTGTTTTCCAGAGAAAATCTGGAAAGTGATATACAGGATTAGTACTAAGAACCTGTAGGAAAAATGAAAAGGCTGAATTCTCACATTTCCGAAGTACAGCAAAACAGAAACAAGAAGAGCTCCATTATTACACCACTTACACATTTTTGGCAACGTCACAACAGAAATTACAACTCCTTGTTGTAAGAAGCAGAAAAGACTGCTATCTAATGAAGCCAACAAGTGAGCTATGACAATTTTGCTCCCATGAAAATTACTGCTTCTCTCTGGCATTGCTTTGCCTTCCAGGGTTCACAAAAGTTTCTACAGGAGCCTGCAAATCAGTTACTTCATTCATTTACTTATTTTAAAGAGAAAACCAATCACTCTGTCTACTCAAGAGTCATCTATGCCTAGAATCTTCTGCATTCCTCACTTCTCCAGAGCTGACTTTGTGCAGTAGCAGAGGCTTCTGGAAAAGAAAACAATGTGTCTTGCTCCTCAGAACTCACTCTTTACACTGGCTTCCTCCCAGAAATTCTGAGAATTCAAAGTTGATGTGCTCTCACTTCTTGTCTCTTCCTCAGACCTCTTGTAAGCCATCCAAGGCAGAAAAGAGGATCTTACACAAGATCAGCAAGGCAAATCTTACGGAACTGGGGTTTATTCCAGTATGTTCCCTTTGGAGTGTGTAATTTATTCCACACAGGGATTCTTCAACTCAGGGGAAACATCTACTTTCATTATTTTAAAACATGCATTGTTATTATCCAGATAATAGAGTGTGTTCACCTGTTTAGTAAGAAGTTCCATGCATAATGCACCTCCACCTAGGACATACCTAGAAACAAACATGAAAGAAAATATATTTGACATCAGCAGTTAGTAAAAAGATTTAACTGTTCACAGCACTTTAAGCTCCTGCATGCTAGCTTGTTAAATTTTTTATTCACATAAAGCTGAAATGCCCTTTAACCAATAATATATTGTAACTAGTAAGCCATATTATGCAAAGATGATTAGCATTGCGAGACCCCCCACCCCCCAAAAATTTTTCCTTTGCTAACTACACTTAGTTAAAATCGGTGACTGAGATACTCTGCACAACTGCTTACACAACTGTACACAGACTATGAAAAAAGCAATGTGGCTTTTTATGGCTACACTATGTATATGTAGAACTGATGTGCAGTTATAAAAAAAACACCAAAAACACCCCAAAAACCTCAAAATTTCAATTCTGTAAAGAAATTTAACACAATTCCAAACAATGTAGGTGCACCTGTAAATCAAATTTGTAGAAAAATGAGATAGAGCAGATCTTCGCTTGCTCTTTTTCTATAAACCACTTTCTAATTTCAGTAACACTTCATTATGCATTGTGCTGACCGGGACTCAGCAGTCAGCACGCCTGGTCATCACAAAACCTGGACTGAGGGAGCAGAATTTACCACTCCAAAAATGAGGTCCCCCTGTGACCAAGATGTTCAAACAACGTAGAGCTGCATGACACTCATAGGGAAACAATCACTGAAATCCAGACCTTCTGGGCCATTCTTTCTTTCATTCTACAAAGAAGTCCAAGTACCCCAAAACCAGAATCCAAATGAGTTTTCTGGTGTCTGCCACTGCTTGTTTACTTTTTTGGTACCAGCAACCCTCACGAACACTGTTTAACTGCACTAACCATTTCTTGAATGCAAAAAAGACCCACAGCAATTAAAATCAAATCAGAATCAGCACCAACTATCACAGACTGCATTTTCAAACACACAGGTATAATTTCCTGTCAGCAGGAGATGCATAAAAGCCTTGGAAGGTGAATTTAATCTTCTCTCCATGGATATATACAAGTTTCCAAATCCGCAGACAGCAATTCAAACATGTTTCAGATGACTTTTGGAGCATGGTGTCAATTAAATTTAGTACCTTTGGATCAGCATTTGAGGAGATTTCAGACAAAAGCTTTATGGCAGCGTTCCCAGCAAAAGAGAGTCAGTTAAGATTGTACAGCAAGTTTAAGGCAACACAGGGATCAAGACCCTATCAAAGCACTAACTCAAAACACCCTACTATTCTGAACAACAGGAGAAGTAACAGAGATGTTAACCATGCACAAAGAGGCCAATTCTTAAACATTATGTCAGGCACAAAGTCTTTCAAAACTAGACACAAACTAAGCAATTCAAAGAGGAATTGCATCTGGCAGGAATATGCGCCCCGCTCTTTGGCTCCTATTAGTTCATGAAGCTTAAGAAGCAAGTCTCCCTATCACGCTTTGAGCTCTTCACCAAACTCAAGGTCTACAGCAGCTCATGAATATACATTTAGGGGAAATTTCTTGTGGTCTACATACATGGTAGTCTCAAAATGTTCCCTGCAAACCCAGTCAACCAATCTCAAGTTGTAACATTTTCTCCACAAAGTAAAATGTCTGTAAAGCAACTCAAACCTACCCTCCTGTGAGCACAGGAGATACCACTCGCACAAAGGGAGGATCAAAAGGGAAGTTATCCTGGAAAGCATAACAAAAAACAGGTTAAGAACTATATTGTGACAGTGTTTTCCTAACCAGGAAGAATTTCAATAGCCTTATTTGGCAAATTTGATTTAAAGCAGTAACATTTTTCAGTTCTGTAAAAGTCATGTCTCCACAATACTGGCTAAAAAGCAATCTTTGGGAAGCTTTAGTGCCACACTTAAAGTTGCACTTTTTGATTTATGCTACACCTCCATCTTTACCCAAGTAACAGCTGAGGGTCATTTCGGTCACTTTCTACAGTAAGCAAACTTAACCCCAGCATTTCTTCCCAGAGACACATACCTTAAAAGAGAAGTTGAGTAAAATGTATTCTACCCCTTCTTTTTCTTTTAAGACCTGAAGATCACTATGCAGTGGGCTATCAGGATCAACTCTATAAAAGAAGCAGAGGGGAGATCCTGGGTGAAGTTAATATTTTCACTACCTGTAAACAGTAATTACCCTTAAAGAGCTCTTTTATGTATTTGTAGATTACAAACTGTAATTTGAAGTGAACTGTAGAAAACTCTTGCTCCCTTTACAAAGTAAACACTTTGTCATGAGATCAGCACTACATTCTGAACACTATCAAGTGTTACTTGAGTATAGTTAGCACAAAATAACCCACTTATTTGAAAATAGCAATTGTAATTCTCTTCCGTTCACTGGAAATGTTTGTCCTAACAGGAGAGGGGAAAAAAAAAACAACCAAACAAAAGATTTTAACAGGAAGACTGTAGCGATATAGTTTTCAGTACACAGTTAGTGAATCCTTTATAGAATATGTGGTCACAGTTCTGTATCAGCTGTTGAAAGTAATCTGCATCAGCAGAAGTACTAAAGCCAGCAGCTGCAGCTCAGCAGAATTTCAACAATTGTTTGTTGCAAAATGCTGGTGGTGAGCAGCCTAGACATTAATTCAGACACTACTGGGTTAATCCCACCCAGGTTCTGACACCCCAGCAGCTTTTAAAAGAGACTAGTCAAAAAATGCCTGCAGCAAGCCAAATGCAGGTGTTAGACAAAATGATGGGCTATTAAATCCAATCTTTGCTACAGGTGAAGCCCCAAACTTATTAGATCTCATTTCAGAATTACTTGGGTAGTTTGTCCCCATCCTACCAACAGGAAGCCGTTTCAGAAGAAAATCGCCCAATGCTTAGAAACCTATCATTTCCAGCCTAGCTTGTGCTAGGCCAGTTCAGAGTTACTTGTTCTAGTAACAATACTGTTCCTTAGGCAAATGGGCTCTTGTCTCTCTGACATTTACCCCCTCAATTAGTCTGCACACAGTTCATTTGGTTTCAGACACTTTTTGCTGGGATAAACACACACAATACTTCTTATCTTCTCTTAGTCATTCTGGAAGCCATTTCCTGCACGTACTCCATTTTTTCTTTCTTGAAGGCAGAAAATCAGACCTGTTCACAGTACTTGAAAAGAGGTTTCAAATCACTGCACAATGCTATGAGGACTCTGTTACAGAAGCACTTGATAGACAAGGCCTCCTGTAATATGGCACAGATTTTTCTGACATAAGTCATTCCTGCCATTTTCAGCTTCAAAACGTTCACATGCCTATGATTACACTAAGAAGGAAACAAAACCATATTTCAGCAGCTGGTGACAGAGTCGTACAAGTCTTACCACTAGGACAAGGCAACAATTCCTACGGGCAGGTCAACTATTGTGCTGAAACAGCTTATGTCCTTATACTTCTTCACCATGACATATCTGAACTGATGGAAGTTCTTTCATCTCTTGCCATCTTTTGCAGCCACTCAGCCTAGTTTGGATAGGCTTTTCCTTCCTACAGGTCATCTTGTAGGATGATGGCAGATGATCCCATTACCAGGCATAATTTCAATATAATACCTCTAGAATTAAAGTTATTGGACTATGGACACAACAAGATAAATTATCATCTAGTACACACAGTAAAAAGCAGTATGTAAGAGAAGACAAGTTATCATAGAATCATAGAATACCAGGTTGGAAGGGACCTCAAGGATCATCTGGTCCAACCTTTCTAGCACAATCTAGATGAGATGGCCCAGCACCATGTCCAGCTCAGTCATAAACGTGTTCAGTGTAGTGGAGTCAACCACTTCTCTGGGGAGATTATTCCAATGATTGACTGTTCTCATTGTGAAAAATTTCCCTCTCACATCCAAACGGAATCTCCCTGGGAGTAACTTGTACCCGTTACCCCTTGTCCTCACCATGGGACTCCTTGTAAAAAGGGAGTCTCCATCTTCTTTGTAGCTCCCCTTTAAGTACTGGTACATGGTGATGTACCTTTAAGCCTCCTTTTCTCAAGGCTGAACAAGCCCAGCTCCCTCAGCCTATCCTCATACGGCAGGCTTCCCAGACCCTTGATCATCTTGGTGGCCCT